CCCCCCCCCCCCCCCCCCCCCCCGATTCCCTTTCACTCTTTGCTTATCAAGAATCATATCTGCCTCCAGCTTTAAAAATATTCAAAGGCTCTGCTTCTACCATGTTTTAAGGAAGATCGTACTAAATTCTTGCAGTCCTATGAAAATTTGTTTCACCTCATCTCATGATCTTGTTTGCTTGCTCTACAGCAGACTCGATTATTCAACGATTATTTTTAATGGCTAATCGATGCATATGTGAAATCAGCATGCTTGGACCCACAAGGTCCCATACTGAATTTCACAAGTTCTGGTGAGCATCCACTTGTGGGTCAGTTCCTTGTTAATAATAAAATGACAATGTGACAGGGAAGTTATCTTTGCCAATTTTGGAATGTCTTTTAAGGTGAATTCATTCAACATTGAATGTAGTTTTGTTGCTCAACATTTATTTGAGCAAGCAGCATCTTGTGTACTTTAATTTCACTCTCCTTTTGCTGATGCCCTAATTACATCCCCAGCAGTCTTGATAAATACTATCGTCAAGAAGATGGGAATCATTGTGCATTTTTCTGTTGCATTACATGATTTGAGCAAGTTGAAACAATTTGAGGGCTTTTCCACAGTAGATATGCCCGCTGCTTTAAGTATCCAAAGACCCCGCTTCTAGGTCTTTGCATTTTGACACGTGTACTTTGGAGGACATCCTGTCTGGTTTCTCTGTTCACTACAGAGGCAGTAACTAAGCTGTAATATTTGCTGCTTAACGGATTTACAAAGAGCTTCAGGACCTAGATGTCATTCCCTGTATCTTTTTGAAAGTTAACAGTTTGAGATTTGAATGCAGCATTATCCTCCCAGGCCTACTACAGCACCATGTGAGAGAGAGGGCAGTCTGCAATTGGTTCTTTTTAAAGCAGATGACTGAAACCAGCATTTTCTAAGGGCAGCATGATTACTGTGGAAAGGGAACTGCATCAGAAGAATGAAGCACTGCTACAAAAAAGGTTGTTTTATTCTTTCATGAGGTATGGGCATCACTAGCTGAGCCAGCATTTATTGCTCATTCCCAATTCCAGATTGTAGATGTCACTGGTTTGGAAAGTACTATATGAGAAGCCTTGTTGAGCTGTTGCTGTGAATTTTGTAAATGGTGTGTACTGCTACCACTGTGCATTGGTGGTGAAAGAAGTGAATGTTGACGATGGTGGATGGGGCGCCACTCAAGTGGGCTGCTTTGTCCAGCACAGTGTCAAAGTTTTTGAGTGTTGTTGGTGATGCACCCTTTAAGACAATTGGAGAATATTTTGCCACATTCCTCACTTGTGCCTTGTAGATTGTGGATAGGCATTGGTGATGAGTTCCTCGCCATTGAACTCTTAATCTCTGACTGTTCTTATAGCTGCAGTAGTTATAAAGCTGGTTCAGGGATTCAGCAGTGATAAATACCATTGAACATCAATGGGCTAGATTGTTGGTGATGATCATTCCCTGGAACTTGTGATGCAAAGATCACATGATACTTAGCAGCCCGAGCCAGGATATTGTCCAGATCTTGCTGCACATGGACACAGGCTGCTTCAGTCTCTGAGTGCAGGCGGTACCAGATGTTGTGCAGCCATGAGCAAGTATCCCCACTTCTGACCTTCCGCAGGTAGGGAGGTTATTGATGAAGCAATCGTCACTCTCTTCCCATGTAGTACAAAATGTAGCAATGTTTCATTACTGCACTTGCCAAGAAGCCAGCTTGAGTCAATTTTTTGTACGTAGTCTTTGTGCATATGTTATGGTTATTAGCCACTTGATGGCAGTATAGTCATTTGAAAAACTTCATGTGATTAGTCATGTTTTCTGGTATCATTGATTCTGGTATTTGTAATCTAGAATGCTTTCCTTCTGTGTTTTGAACTGTAATCCCTTGATATACACTGCTACATGACACATCGAACAATCTGCAGTGCAGAGTCTAAACTGACTTAAATAAAACCTAGAACTGCAGATGCTGAAGATCTGAAACAAAAACAGAATTTTGCTGGAGAAACTCAGCAGGTCTGGCAACATCTGTGGAGAAAGAAATAGAGTTAACGTTTTGAGTCTGGTGACCCTTGTTCAGAATCTCATTCTGAAGAAGAATCACTAAACTGTAAGCGTTAATTCTGTGTTGTCCCTCCACAGATGCTACCAGACCTGAATTTCTCCAGCAAATTCTGATTTTTGGCCCAAGTGATTTGTTGAGATGAACAATGCAGGAGGTTTGGAAGTTTCTGCATTACCAAGTTTAATTTACACACAATGTTTTGTCTGTTTCTGCAGATGCCATTCCTTTCATAAGCTGTAAAGACTTGTGATTGTTGGAATACATCAAAGCAGACTAAATTTCTGAGCTGAGATACATCAAAATGACTGATTCAGCCAAATTCATTGAGTTTGAGGAAAGAAACAATTTGTAATTGGGACAGGGACTATGTTAAATGTAATTTAGAAGAATGAGGGAGGGATCTTATAGAAACATATCTGGTTCTTGCCAACACCATACTTGAGCAGGGAGGAGGTTTCTGTAATGTTTCTCCTCTTCCCCTCAGTGTCACATACGGAGCAGGCCTTGGACAGACATGACAACTGAAACAGTTCGGGGTTCAAGGGAAGCAAACGCTGTTCAATTTTTTAAAAATTTAACAGACAGGCACCGGATGAGTAGCTCTGGGTCCTTGTGCATGAAGGTGACAGGAGGTCAGAGTATTGCAGGGAGTTTCATCAGGCAGGCAGCACCACGGCGTCAAAGGTCAGCCCCAGGAGATCAGATTATTGCAGGATTTTCATCAGGTAACACCAGAGGTCACAGTCAGGGGTCAGTACAAGGCAGCATCAGGGTTCAGCGCCAGGAGGTCAAACTATTGCAGAGACTTTAACCAGACAACATCTGGAGATTAGGGTCAACACTGAGGGCCAGGGGTCAGTACCAGGCCACATCTGGAGGTTAGAGGTCAACACCAGGCAGCAGTTGGGGATCAGGTGTCAGCACTGGGAGGTCAGTATTGCAGAGAATTTGATCAGGCAGCAGCTGAGGATCAGATGTCAGCACCAAGGGGTCAGAGTATTGCAGTGAGGTTCGTCAGGCAGCACCAGGGGGTCAGGGTCGGCAGCAGCTGGGAGGTCAAAGATCAATGCCAGTTTGCCAATGCATTTATGTGCCCTGCATGGGGGGGACACCCAAAAGATGAGCCTGTCTTGTCTTTACACGCAAGTCAGGAATTAGCTTTATTTTTAATTGGAGGCTGTACTCATTCCTCGCCATTCTAAAGTCAAAATAAATGACTGAGTCACTTAGTTCAACGTGACTCTCTTTCTTTTCGGTTCACCCTTGCATCTGATTCAGAAGGATTCGGGTTCAAATCCCACACCACAAGACATTGGTTGGGTCACTCTTGGAATACTTTGTTCAATTCTGGTCTCCCTGCTATAGAAAGGATGTTGTAAAACTTGGAAAGGTTCAGAAAAGATTTATAAGGACGTTGCCAGGGTTGGAGGCAGAGGCAGAATAGGATGGAGCTATTTTCCCTGGAACATTGAAAGCTGAGGGATGACCTTATAGAGGTTTATAAAATCATGAGGGGCACAGATAGGGTGAATAGCCAAAGTGTTTTCCCCAAGGTAGGAGAATCCAAAGCTAGAGGGCATAGGTTTAAGGTGAGAGGGGAAAGATTTAAAAGGGGCCTAAGGGGCAACTTTTTCATGCAGAGGGTGGTGCATGTATGAAATGAGCTGCCAAAGGAAGTGGTAAAGGTTGGTACAATTACAACATTTAAAAGGCATCTGGATGGGTACACGAATAGGGCGGGTTTAAGAGTGTTATGGACAAAATGTTTGGCAATGGGACTGGATTAATTTTGGATATCTGGTTGGCATGGATGTATTGGACCAAAGGGCCTGTTTCTATGGTGTACATCTCTATGACTTTATATAAAATTATGAAAGGAATGGTAAGATAGAAGCAGGGAGGTTGTTTCCACGGGCAGGTGAGACTAGAACTAGAGGGCATATCCTCAAAATTAGAGGGAGCAGATTTAGAACAGAGTTGAGGAAGAACTTCTTCACCCAGGGAGTTGAGTCTGTGGAATTCCCTCCAGCGAAGTAGTTAAGGCTATCTCATTGGATGTTTTAAGGTAGATTTTTTGAACAGCAAAGGAATTAAGGGTTATGGTGAGCGGGTGGGTAGGTGGAGTTGAGTCCACGAAAAGATCAGCCATGATTTTATTGAATGGCAGAGCAGGCTCAATGGGCCAAATAGCCTACTCCTGTTTCTCTCTCTCATGTTCTTATGTGCAAACACCATTCACAACCTCAGAACCAACACACAGCATTTAAACTGGGTGAGTATAGAAATTTGAACCAATTAGTCCCAGAAGTTTCAAAGTTTGTTATTGTAAATAGAAAAGAATAACAAAATCTGAGCACTGTTTCCTCCTATGCATTTTGACTTTCTTTCCTTGACTTCCCACCAATAATCTTAATTATGTTGAATTCATTGACCCTTTTTTCTCCTCCTAACCATTGGCTGTCAAAGAACTAAAAAAATTTCACTGTATTGTTTTCAACACACAAAGGATGTGGAGAAGTTACAAACTTGCTGCATCTGGTTTAAGTTAGCAGGCATATAGCAATGCAGGTTTAATTTTAGGACATCAAGCATGGATTTATTAAGGACAAGTTGTGTCTGATAAGTTAGCATTTTCACTGACTGAAAAATCATCGAAGTTACAAAGTAAGAAGAGTCCATTCAAAGTAGCAGATCTACCAGTACTACATCTTCATCTTATCTCTTGTTGGCGTGCAGTACTTTATGCACATTAATGGACATCATTTGGAACAATTGTTCATTTATGAAATCTTTAATAGATGCTTATCAAAAAATAGTGAAGTTCCTTTAATAATACATAAGAATTCTAAAGGCTTTAGAGAGAGGGCATTAATGATTTGCAAGCCTGAAGTCCATTTTCCCTGGCACCAAAACAGAAATTGCTGGAAAAGGTCAGCTGGTCTGGCAGCATATGTGGAGACGAATCAGAGTTAATGATTTCGGTTCAGTGATCCTTCTTCACAACTCTGAGGTAGCTGAACAGCTTGTTGGTGTGATTCTTTGGTCAAAAGCCATTAGATCTCTGGGAAAAAAAAGGGTGTTATCTTTTACCAAGCAGTAAAAACAAACCACCAGAAACCTGAAGAAAAAACTATTTATTTCCCCTAATCAGTCACTGTGGCTTTTAGCCAAAAGTCAGATACTTTATATGTTGTGAACCTGTCACTCTGCATCCTGTAAGCCAGTGAAAGCACTTGGAGGAGGAAAACTGAGGAGCAGCATGGCTGGGCAAGCAAAAAGGATCATCACTGTGGACAGGGACCATTGAACTATCTTTCCAGCCTTTGCCACTAACCGTGGCACCAATTTCTTTCTGTCTGTCTGTCTGCATGTTTTTGTGTGGAGATTTTATAAAGGAGTTAGAATTCTAACGAGTAAAATTATATGTTGATGGTTCATAATTGTTTACCTTAGCCAGCATCTTTTTATTTTATCAAAATTCTTACTGGATACAGAAACTTTGTGTATACTTTCAGCTCAGATCTAAAATATAGTAAATTGGGGAATTTTCCATAATTTTATGAAATCTTTAATTTTTGTGATGACTCCGTTTGATTTCCAGCACTACCCAAGTGAGTTGTAACAATCCCAAATGAGAATGTGTATCACATATTAAACCCCTTTTTTACACACTGCCAAACTGGGGCATGGTCCTATCTTTTTAAAAAAAAAACCAGCAGGGAGCAAACATGGTTAACATTGAACTTTGGCATCCTTGCATATATTTTCTTTTGGCAAGAGAGATAGCAAGAACTGCAGATGCTGGAGTCAGAGTCAATACAGTGTGGAACTGGAGGAACACAGGAGGTCAGGCAGCATCAGGAGCAGGAAAGTCAACGTTTCAGGTTTCTACCCTCCTTCAGTTCTGATGAAGGGTGTAAACCCGAAACATCAACTTTCCTGCTCCATTGCTGCCTGACCTGCTGTGTTCTTCCAACTCCACACTGTATTGACATAAATATATTGATGCAGTTTAGAAACAAAAAATGCATTAAACATTCAGGATACTGTTAATTCCAATTGTTTACTAATCTGTCTTTCCAGACGATCCCCATGTGAAGTACTCTGCTGTAAGCAGTTTTGTTTTCCTTCGATTCTTCGCAGTTGCAGTGGTCTCCCCTCACAGTTTCCATCTTCGACCCCATCATCCAGTAAGTAGTGTGATAATTGATGAGAATAGTTTTGAACAAAAGAATTGAAAACCCAGAACCTGGCATACTGTGAAATGAGCTGACTTGATTTGAGTTTTATTTGATAAGGTGGGCATTGATGGGGCGACCTGGAATGAGGTAAGGGTAGTAGGCACAGCCAATAATGGTGATACAGTCAACATCTTGTCTACAAGAAATGTCCAGCAAAAAATGAGTGATGAGAAATTGAATTAGGAGTCATATATGATAAATGCTGCCTGACTGGATTGTTTTCATTATTTTCTGTTGTTATTCTAAAGTTTTGAGTATTCACGTATTTAATTTGAAGAAAATTGAATTGAGTTTTCAAACCAGGCAATCTTGAATGAGACATAAAATGTACCTACCTAAAAGGAAATATTATATTCACTTAAATCGATTAAATAGGACAATGAAAATAGAAATGAGGCAAAACAGCAAAGAAAAATAGAGAGTGGTGAAAAATATACTTAAATCAGATGTTAGAAGAAATGCATAATACATCCAGAACAATTGTCCGGGCAGGGTAGTAGATATTAAGAGATTGCTGCAATTTCCATGTTTAGAATAGATTGGAAACTATGGTGTATTGAGATAGACATTTGGTGTGCCTGTAGATGCAAATATGGTGTCTTGCACTGGAATATCCCCAGTGGTAGGTTAACAAGCCAGTTGACCCAACTTTGAGAATGGCATATATGTGGATTTCACATTTACTTTAACACCTATTTGTGATGATAAAGTTGTTTGGACCTTTGTTGGTGGGAATCAAGCTTCAATCCTGAACTGAAAATGTTGGTGATGCTGGAGAGTTATATCTATGTTTTAGTATGAAAAAATGATCAGTGAAGTCAATTCCTCTGTTCAATTTGTCTGTCTTTCTTACACTTCTTGTTTCATTGTAGGATGCTCAGACAACTCGAGTCTTGACCTTAATTTCCAAAACAATCCAAACCTTGGGAAGCTGGGGCAGTTTATCCAAAAACAAGCTGGTCAGAATCATCTCGACGATTTTTCAAAAATTTACATTGTATTGTTTCATTTCTGTGTACTAATTTGCTTTATTTTGAATCGCAGTCAAGTTTCAAGGAGTCCTATATGTGTGATTTTTTTAAACTATTTCAAGAAGAAAAATGCATCGAGTCAGTTAAAAAGGTGAGCTTGATTTAACGCAGTTATTTTGTTATCAATTAATGTATTGGAGAGGGATTTTAAAGAGGAGTTGGAGTCCTGTGTTCAGTAGCACAAATCAATCTTTATTCGGAGCTCCATTACCACACGTGTGAGAGAGGTCAGTGACTGCTCCGAATCTAGCTTTCATATAGGGCCCAGTTGTCCTCTTAATCACAGCTCAGATCAGAGGCTGGTGACATTCTATCTGTCCCAGTAAATCACAGGTTATGTATACGTACCCTGTTACAATGGTTACATGCAACATTGATATCAGTGCTTGCCACATCCTCTCTGACCTACACATCCAATCTTGTGAATACACATCCAATGATGGACAACTTCATAGTCTACCTTAGGTCCTCCCATCATCTCCTGATGTTTGTCAGATCCCCTATCACCTGTCCTTGGGCTGCTATGATTTTTGACCACATTCCAACACTGATTCTTATGTCCTTTGCTAGACATTTGCCAGCCACATCAAATACTTGCTTATTACTAATGACTTTTCAAATTCAGCCATGCAATTCATATCGCTTGCTGATCTTGGTACAGAGATTAAAAAGAATGTTAAATTCTACCAATTGTTTTAATATTTGTAATATCAGCTCTAATATAAAGTTGCTTACAAAATTATACATGGTTAAACCTAATATTATGATTCTGTGACAAAGCTAATAATTTTGGGAGCAGCTTTCCTCTTATCCGACTTACAAAGCAGCAATTGTTTATTCTCTCAAGGTCTTAGTGATCCTGTTTCAAAATTGTTTCTGCCCCCTTGCAACGTTATTTGTTTTTTGGAACTCTTAGGTTATCTTGTTTGTACCTTTTTGTTGTTCTAATCATCTTGCTGATGGAGAAAAACGTTTTTTCAAGTGTGTTTATCAAAACTAGTCTCTGCATCCATGACTAACTGCCTTCAGAAATTTAATTTCCTAATATCTAATAAGTTTAAATTCCTATTCTTGTATATGTCTACGCTAATACATAATTATAATTATTTAAAAAGCCCCATCTCTGGTAGGTCAGGTTTTCCCTTTCTACTTCATAAAAATCCGAAATCTCAGATCAGATGGTTTTCATCTGAGCTGCCTTATCAAAGTCCTACTGTTTGCATTCTAGTCCCATCTTACTAAGACTCTGGCATTTTGTTGTCTGGCTGTGAAGGCCATGATTTGAGCGATATGAAATGCTACATCAGCTAAAATTTTCTTCAATTGCCTGTCAGTTAAAAAGAAAACCCCTAACAGCCATTTTGTCATATTCAGCCATGGGTAACTCCAACAATATGAATGATGACTCTACAACCAGAGAATTTTAGTAGCTACACTTATTCCATGTTTTAGCTCGATGTGACGTTATGTTGCCAGTATTGTCAACACTCTATTTTAATGGCCCAAATATTCTGATGCTGGATAGTCGCTTCTGCAGCATAAGTTGGAGTGCACATCAGGACCATGCAGAGTTTTCTACACAACTGACTGTAAGGGAATTTCCCAGAAAATTGAAAATTCCAATGGGCAACTCAGCCACATCTTGAACCCACTGAAGAAAAGCCCCTTAAAATTGGAGAATGCAGAGATTTTGAGATGTGCTGTCAAACTAGGGATTTGGGACTTTTAAATGTTAACTTCTGAAGAAAATTAACAAATTTCCTTTCCTTAAAAACAAGTTCTCTTGACCTGGAATACTGCTCCTACGCTTAATGTATTTGTTCTCCGTTTCCTCTGATGAGCACATTCAGGCAGGCCAGATGCTAAAAGAGTCACTCACAGGTAATCTTAAAGAAGATTGCTGTCAATTGAATCTATACCAATAGTAATTAGAATTTCTGGGGCCATTATAATGAAATGAGAGATTAATAAAGATTATATTGTACTCTACTTGGAAAATATTTCATTACTGTGGTCTTGCGGTTCTGGGAAATTGGACATAAAAACAAACTAAATTACTGGCTTTTCATTCATGAGGTATACTGGATGCAGTTATATTACGATTTTTGTTTGTTTTTGCTATTTGTTTCATTAATGGGACCTGGACATCAGTGGCTCAGTCAGCATTTATTTCCTATCTCTAAATACCCTGGTGAAGGCAGCAGCGAGCTACCTTTCTTTTCCTTTATTCATTCACGGGATGAGGGCGTTGCTGGCTAGGCAGTATTTATTGCCCATCCCTAATTGCCCAGAGGGCAGTTAAGAGTCAACCACATTGCTGAGAGTCTGGAGTCACATGTAGGCCAGACCGGGTAAGGATGGCAGTTTCCTTCCCTAAAGGACATTAGTGAACCAGATGGTTTTTCCAACAATCGACAATGGATTCATGGTCATCATTAGATTCTTAATTCCAGTTATTTATTGAAGTCAAATTCCACCACCCTGGTCCCCAGAACGTTATGAGTCTCTGGATTAACAGTCCAGTGATAATGCCAGTTAGGCAATTGCCTCCCCAAAAACCTTAAACCATTACAATCCTGGGTAGTAGATGAGCTGAGTATTAATGACCAATACAGCTTACAGAAAAGTAATTTATTTTAATGTAAACACCTCATCTGACACAATTTGATTTAATATTTGGGAAATTTTGGAGCATTTTGCTTTTAGCAAGGCTACCCATTTTTATATGTTCTGTATTATCTTTGAGAAGTTGGTGGTGAGCCTCTCAAATACCACTGAGTGGCTTGCTGAGTTATTTCATAAGGTAGAGATAGTAGGAACTGCAGATGCTGGAGAATCCGAGACAACAAGGT